CCCTTCCAATGCTGCTGGCAATGTCTGTGTGTTAGGTTTGTTACTTGTTGGCTTATGCTTAGGGAAGACAACAGAAAGAAGGAAGCAGCCGGGGATTCTGGGCAGCCTGGGCAGCACGTGCTCTTGTTTCTATGTGTACATAGCTGCCATTGTTCATAACGAAGCTGGACAATCACCACTTCCTTTTCTAGATATTTGGTCCCTTACTATCTCTTTTGTTCTAGATCTGTTCTAGAATTTCCCCAGGAATCAAAGTCAAAATCACTGGCCTATAGATTGCATACTGATCTTTAATTTTTGAAAACTGAAACATTTTCACTTTTACGCTCCTGTAGTATCTCTCCCATTCTCCATGTGCTTTCAAATATCACTGACAGTAGCTCAAGAATCTGTCAGCCCTTTCAGTACTCAAGAATGTATTTCATTCTCCACAAGTGACTGAATTTTTCCAGGGAATCTAGGTGCTATCTCCTTATTTACATTAGGCATTTATTTCCTTTTAAACATTTGGATTCTGTCCTTTGCAATCCAAAAGGATTTTTTTTTGTATCCTACAAATATGCTCATATTCCAGTCTATCCCCCACTCATCTGTGAAACTGATCTGACAATGCAATCCCCATCCTCACCTTTTCTAAATCAATTCCAGTGGCTCACTAGCACTTCCAGGAACAAATATAAAATACTGTTTGGCTTTTAAAACCTTTTATAAAACCTGGCTCCTTTCTACCTTTCAAGTCTTCTTCTGCCTTGTTTTTGTTGTTCAGTCCTGTCTGAGTCTTCATGACCCATAACAGCACACCAATGCTGTCTTATGGGTTTTTCTTGGTGAAGGTACTAGAGTGAATTGCCATTTTCTTCTCCAGTGACTTGCCCAGGGTCATACAGCTATTATTTGTCTGAGGCTGAATTTGAACTCAGCTCTTCCTGATTCCAGGCCCCATGCTCTATCCATTGAGCCACCTAGTTGCCTCACCTTCTTATACCTCCTTCTTTCCAGGCGCTCTTTAATCCAGAAACAATCCAATAATTCTTGCTGTTCTTTGAACAGGAGATTCCACCTCCTAATTCTATTTGTTTTCACTGGCTGTCCTCTACCCTGTTACATTCTACCTCCTCATCTCTGTCTCCCAGCTTCCTTTGCTTCCTTCAACTCCCAGCTAATATTCTATTTTCTACGAGAAACTTTTCCCAACCCCCTTAATACTAGTGCCTTCCCTCCATTGATTATCTTCAGTATGTAATTTTTTGTGTTGTTTCTCCCATTAATACCGTGAGCTCCTTGAGAGCAGAGACTGGCTTTTGCTTATAACATAGCATCTGGCACACAGCAGGAGTTTAATAAATGCTAACTGACTCTATATAAAGTTGTTTGCATGTTGTCTCCCCCATTATACCATGAGCTCCTTGAAAGCATAGATTGGTTTAAAATTTTTGTTTGTTTTTGCCTTTTCTTGTATCCTTAGTGCTTACTACAGTGTTTGACACATAACAAATTTTCAATGCAATGGTTTTTACATAACCATAATTTCCCCTATATCTTTTTCCCTTTTTTTTGTTACCTTCTTTCCTTCCCACAGATCCATGCCATACAAAAATATTTTTAAGACAAAAATAAAAGGAAAATCAGCATAACTGATAAAAATATTGGAAAATTCTGAAAATATGTGATGTGCCACGTTTATGGACCTCATGCATCTGCAAATGAGCTGGTGAGTGTGTCTTCTTTTGAGCCATGCTTGCTCTTTATAAGTTTGCAACATTCACTTTCGATTTTTTTTATATGTGGTCATTCCTTTGATTTACATTGTTGTAGTCATTGTGCATATTGTATATATGTTCATTGTTTATGTGTGCCAAACCTTCTTTAACAGAGAATTTGATGCAAAGTTTCTCCCCCCCCCATTTCCTTTAATAAAAGGATTTGTTCAGTAAAACTTGGACTCAGTCAAAAGACCACACCCAAGGACTTAAAGGGCCGCATGCAGCCTCGAGGTCACAAGTTCCCCACCCCTGTCTAACCCTAATTTCTACTATACTGCTTTCCTAGAAAATTTTTATCACATGGGGATTTTTTTCCCCCTAAGAAATCTGTGTTTTCTGCTTTATCAAATACTGGATTATTAAGTCATTTCAAAGAATCAGCTTTTAATTTTAATCTATCATTTCTAGTTTTTTTAAAAAAAATTTCCACTTTGTCTTCTAATTTTTTATCTATTTTTGTGCTTATTTTAGTTTTGTCTATTTTTTGGCTCTCTAATTTTCCATTTTATTCATGTATTTTTGTAGGGGTGTGATTTTTCTGAGGACTACTTTAGCAACATCCCAGAAATTTTGATATTGTTTCACTATTATCATTTTCATTTGCATAATTATTTTTTTCTCCAATTTGTTCTTTGACTTACTCATTACATAAGATTCTATTGTCTCCATTTAGATCTGTCTTTTTTGCAGTCTTTGAACAGAATTTTTTTTTGAACTTTTTATTGCATTATGGTCTGTAAAGGATGTATTTACTATTTCTTTTTTGTGCCTCAGTTTACCTTTCTCTCTCATGAAACTGTTGGGGTTGGGATCCAGGAAGGAAAAACCCTGGACTTTCCCACTTGGCCATACATCTGGCATTCAGCCTGAGGCTATAATCCCATCAACTGGCCTTTCAGTTGTGGCTACACTCAATCTCCCCTCCATTGTCTTACCTCCCTACAGCCCCTGGCCATTTCCCACCCTTAATCCTAGCTAGGCTCCATTTTCCCTTGGCCAGGAGTCCAGATCCCAGGAATTCTGTTCACCCCAGTTTACTGGTCACTCCCATCCAGATCTCCTCAGGCTCCTTCTCTTGTCACCCCAAACTACTTGACCACTCCTAGATCCCTCCCACAGGCTTTCTGTATATAAGATCCATCTTGTCTCCATTAACATGCTTAGATTCTTAAAATCTAGCCACTGCTGGGATTCTTATAATCTAGCTCAGATTCCTAAAATCTAGCCACAGTTTAGATTCTTATAATCTAGCCGTTGCTTACCCATGTTCAGACCCCTTAAGAGTCTGCCCAGTATAAACCACAACAACTTCATTTTATTTTGTGAGTTTCAAATATTCCATTTTGTATGTCTTTTTTTTCTTTCCCTTGTTTTCTTCACTATTTATTTTCCTTCTCTGTCTAGACTCTTGTTTGATTTGTGGCCCTTATACTTATTTAGTACTTCTCTGTTCTTTGTATTCCTCGTGGAATTAAAACTTTTTTTGTTTTGTTTTTTTGGCTAGGCAATGGGGTTAAGTGACTTGCCCACAGTCCACAGCTAGTTAGTGTCCAAGTGTCAGAGGCTGGATTTGAACTCAGGTCCTCCTAACTCCAGGACGGTGCTCTATCCACTTTGCCACCTAGCTGCCTCTGGAATGAAAACTTTTGAGGTACTTATTTTTGAGTTCTGTCTTCTAAACAGCTTCTGTTATTGCCTTAAAGGTCTTGCCTCCTGGCTCCATTTCTTCTGACGTGCCAGAGTCTTAGAAATATCAGTTACCTCAGGTGATAAAGGAGATACTGCCCACATGGTAGGAATCTTCCCATGTCCATTATTGTGCAGTTCATTATTGACCATTACCCCCTCCTCGGTCTTTTTTTTTTTCCTATTTATCTCCAAATCTTATCCCTAGGCCCATCACCTCTCAGAAACTCGTTTCCCTTAGTAGGATGGATGGTCTCTTTAAGCACCAGATCCCTGCAGATCAGACCTACTGCAAGGTCCCCATTTTGTTTCATAGAATATCCCTTCTCTCCTAAGAACATTTATCACTGATATCCTCTCACACCACTGAAACAAGGCTTCCTTCCTTTCTTACCCCTTTTTCATTCCTTCCCTTTGCTTCATTACACATTCTCCTGTAGGCTCTCTTCTTCCTGAAAGACTACAGGAGCTATTTGCCCTTCATTCTTAGCCATATTCCCCTCAATCTTCTGTCTCCCCCTCCCCCATTTGTGCAAGTGTGGAGGGAGTGGAAAACACAGGGATCAAAGTGTGTCTGCTCTCCTAAATCATCATTCACGAGTCTTCACTAGTAGCCCCATAGGTATATATAACTAACTCATCTGATCCTAACCTGTGAGATGAACAAGTTACTATTTATATTCCTTCCTAGATCAATGTCTTATTTAGTTCAGGCCCCTCATTTTACAGAAGAGAAAAGGTAAGCCCATTAGTGGGATGAAAAGTAGATGTTCCACATTCTTCATCATTGCTCTCACACTGTTCCATCTTTTCTGCTTCTAGCTGGGAGAAGACAGGCTCCATACCCATCATGAGAGAACTTAACAAGTGCTGTATTACCACTGAGGCCAACTATCCTCAGCTGGCAATGATTAGAGACTTTGCTTCTAGGAAGGATCAGACAGACTGGGAGACAGCGGAGCATTTCTAGAACCTTCCCCAAGCAGGTCCTGAAAACCTCCTGGGATAGACTGTTCCGAGTCCAATCTGTGTGCTGTTCTTGTTCGACCGGAGGGGAAGCAGTGTCAATGCTCCCTCTTGGTGGTCTTGCTAGCTCCTTCCCTCTCCCTCATAATTCATATACAAACAGCTTTTTCAACCTCTTAGAAAATAAAGGTTTGATTTGGAATCTCAAGATTCACTAAGGTACTGATAGGTGAATGATGTTCAAACAGAAGTCAGAGCATTATCATTGCCTGTTTTGCTGTTTCTCCCCTTCCCCTCTCCACCCCCCTCCCCCCAGCCTTTGGAAATGAAATTTCCAACCACTCACTGGATGATGGAAGCCAGTTCCTCTTGGGTTCCAGGTAAAATCAGTCACTCAATATTAGTGCTGAAGGGTGATTGCTTTGAATATAATCCATATAATCTGCTTGATTTTGAGAAATGCTTTGAAATGCAATTCTGCAATTCTTAATATTTTTGAGGTAACCACATCTGTCTCCCCCCAACCCTGCCCCCTACCCCGCTCCCCCAAATTCAGAAAATTAACTGAATGGCCCACTCCAGAAATGGGAAAAAAAGATTTATAACTTTATTGGGGGTGAGGCAGATTGTGTGTAGGGGTAGGAGTTAATCTCTGGATTTTAGTTCATATACTAAAAACTGTGCATAATCATGTTTAACTTACTGAAATACTTTAATGTCTATAATTTCATTTTTATCTTCATACTGTCCCAGCTGATAAAGTAAGAATGCCTATATACAGAGAGAAAGAAACAGGCAAGTGACTTAGCCAAAGTCACACAGCTAGTCAACATCAGAACTTCCAAACAGAGACCAATATTCCAGACCCAGTGCATTACCCACTAGTCTGGAGTAAACCTTTCCCTGTACTTTTATAAATAAAGCAATTCAGGAAATTCTTAACATGTGTGGTACGAATCACAATGTTTTCACCATTAGAAGTCAGGTTTTCACTTATGCCAACTGCATAAATCAAAGCCACTGCCGACAAAGTCACTTTAACTGTCCCTTGGGACAATTATTTTTTTCCTTCCTAGTTGGGAAGGGTTAGGGAGACTAATTCCTGGGAGTCGGAATAAAGCCTATATTATTTAAAGGTTCTTGGAGGGTATGGAGCTCAGTGGAAGGATCCCAAGAACAATAAAAGCCTGCAAGGAAATGGGAGTTGGGAGGTCACTAAATCTTAACTTTCAATAAATGTTGAAAAATTACATAGAAAGTTGCTCCCTGCTCCTAGTTTTGCTTTTCTAAGTAGGGGGAAACACTGTACTCAGCTTTAACTCAGTTACCTTTGACCTACTCTCCAGAGGATGTTCCCCAACTGCAAAAAGAGATTCTCTGACCCAGAGCAAGGGGCACGAATGGGATAACACTGGAAAATAGTAATCGGGAACACTCCAAAAAATCAGACGGAGGTAACATGATTTTTAATCCCTCTATCCTTAAATTGGTACCTTGGAGAGCATTCAGTTATTTGGGTACTAGTGTGCATTACTTCCTTCAATAACCAAGGCATGATGCTTTCATTTTTCCAATTTTCAAAGGTCTTCTTTTTGAATAAATCAGGGACTGTATCCTAGGTAATGGCAATGCTGTCTGGTTTTATTGATTAATTAATAATATGAATTTTAAATTTCTTTCTTTAGACTAATAAAATTTGCCAAAAAGAAATCTTTCTCTTTGGATCAAAACAAAACACTAAACAACTAATGCCCACTTAGATATAAAATACCTGTACTCCCCTACAGCAACAGTAAAGATGTACTTTTTTTCTAGCTTCGGAAAATTATATGGGGATGGAGAAAATGTGTTCCTACCTTCTGAACCTTACAGTATCCCTTGAGAATAATATGTCAGCCAACATCTAAATGAAAAGTATTTTAGGTGCGGCTTTATAAGCTATACACATCCATATATACCCACATACTCATCCTTCTTTGTGCTTAGTCCTACCCCTATGTCTCGAGAGAGAGAGAGAGAGAGAGAGAGAGAGAGAGAGAAGAGAGAGAGAGAGAGAGAGAGAGAGAGTTGAGTGTTCCTGGGCTTAAGTTATACCAAGACCATTAAATACTATGAGTTGGTGGTAATTTGCTCAGCTTCCCTGATTTATAGTTGGACCACTAGTTCAAATCCACGAGTTTATCCAGAAGGTTCTGCTTTATAGGTGAATGCCTTATTTATGTCCCCTCAACACTACTTTTTTCTTGGATGGGAGATAAGAATTATCTACCCATATTAAAATTTGGCTTTTTAAAACAAAATATAAACAAGCAAGAGATACTTTCTATGTGCAAAGTACTAGAAGAGATGTGTTCAGGATGGAAATATGAGTTAGAGTAGCTTGGCCACATGAAATTTAGAATGCACGTATCTAGTGAGAAGACAAAACATAACAAACATGAAATGTTTTTCTAATCTACACAGTAGGCTTGAATAGCCACAAAATAGTCTTGGGAATCAAATAAAATTCCCTCAAAGATTGTAGAGTCATGTTGTATTTATATATGCAAGTACTGGGGGTCAAGCAGAAGGAGAGGTTACCATTTGCACTGATGACACTGAGGAATAAGAGGGAAAGAGCAGCAAGTACCTGATACTATCTAGTAGCTTAGCACGGGGATTTGCTTGATGTGCTTTGGAGAGGAAGGTAGCTTCAAGGGATAGCAGAGTCTAGTGAAAGTTGTTCTACTTTAATTAGAAGACTTCAGCTTTATGTCGGTTCTGTCAGTAAAGCCTGTGTTTTCTGACCTCTAGCCACGACTACTAGAAGAATCTCCGGTATGGGTACTACCTCATGCTCTGGAGCCTTCTAACTAAAAACAAAGCGGTACAGTGGAAAGATGAAATTTAAAGGGGTTACAGGCCAGAAAGAAGCTCCTAAGGGCAGGAAAGAAATGATCCTCCAGGTTTATCTGAATTTATCTATAAGATGCCAAAGCAATGGATTGATGTCATTTTCAAATCAGTATGATGAAAATGAAGGGGATGTAGGGGGGAAATGAGTAACAATTATTTGGCAATGGTGGGGTGAGGGGGAAGAGAAGCTTATTGACTGTATTACTCATGTTTTGTATGCCTATTGAATACTGTATTGCTATACGGGCACTGTTGCAGAGTAAAGGAATAATAACTATATGGTCTCTGTGTGAGTGTATGAATGAATAGAAATGAAATGTCTGTGTTGGTGTGAGTCTCAGCACACAAAGTGGCACAATTCAGTAACAGTTGTTAACAAAGTCACAATAGTGAGATCACAGTGACCTAGTGACATAAGGCTCTTTTCTAATGTTCCCAGCATATTGGGGTAAAAAGGAATTTAGTATGAGTTCAGAGCTTGCTTAGAGCGTCTCTTCATATGTACTCGCTGATGTCGAATGAGATCATGCTTATGCAAGAAACTTTTGACACAGTACCGACATTTAAAGGACTTATCTTTTGTGTGAATGCTGCTGTGCTGGACCAGGTGGTCATGTTGCTCAAAGGCTTTTCCACAAAAACAACACTTATGTGTTTGTTCCCTCTTCTCCTCTCCAAATAAGGTGCTAGAATTTGTAATTTCTTCTGATGGACTAGTTGAAGATGATGACCCTTGCTGCTCTTTCTTGCTTAGTTCAGGCCCTTTTTCCTGGGCATGCATTCTGCTGTGGGAGACAAGATGGGAGCTGAGGCGGAAACTTTTCCCACACTCACCACATATGTAGGGCTTCTTAGTTTCATGGGTCTCCCTGTGTTCTTTGAGATCCTCACTTTCAGTAAATGTTTCCCGGCAGACAGGACATTCATGAACCTTCTTCTCTTCCTTGCGGCTCTTGAGATGCCTGATGAAGTTTGCCCTCCAGCGGAAGTTCTTCCCACATTCAGGGCATGTGTAAGGTTTCCTTGATGTAGTCTCAACCTGAGAATGGACAGCATCTCTGAAGTCAGTCATGTTATTCTTGTGGGGTAGGGAAGGGTTGCGTCTCCTCCTCTTGGAGCCTGGAAGATCTTCTCTACAGGACTGGCTCTGTTTGGGATCCTCATCTCCAGAACTGGATAATACAATTTCAATGGAAACTTCCTCTCCTAGATTTTTCTGCTGAGGCAGCTCCTTCTTGTTCATGTTGCTATCTCCTGAAAAAGGAAAATGAGAATCCAGACCATGATGAGATAAATTATGACACCCAGAGTAGTATACTGACTGACATAATTGTGTTGGCTGCTATTCTCCAGCCCAGGGGCAATTTTTAAACTCCATTTTCCTCTTACCAAATCCCTCTCTCTCTCTTTCCTCCATTTCTACTTCTCTATGTCTATGCTTTATGTCTGCCAGTTGATTTCAACAGTAAGCAGTCCCTAAAGAGCTTTCTAATCCATGACCCAGAAATAGTCTCCTTATAAGACCACAAAAAGACGCTAGATGTGATAGTATCCTATCTCTGACACCCAATAGCTATGCAACCACTGGCCAATCACTTATCCACTCAGGGTCTACTTTCTCATTTGTAAAATGGAAATTAATAATAATAATAATAATAATAATACTTAAAAGTATCTACTTCACAGGGTTGTCAATTAACTCAGCTGAGATGATGTATATAAAATACTTTACAAATTTTAAAGTGCTATGTAAATGTCAGTTATGTCTATTGCTATTACTTTTTTTTATTAATATTTTATTTTGATAGTTTCAAAATGGAAAGAATTAGAGATGAGAAAACTTATAGTGTAGTCTGACTGTCAACTAGCTAAATTATTTGGTATGAATTAGCTGTGTAATATGCCTTGGGACTCAATTTCATCATCTGTAAAATGAACAGGTTAAAATAGATGATTTCTAAGGTATTCACTCTCTCAGCTCTACAATGCTATGGAAATGTTGTAAAAAGCAAGGATCTATACTCTTCCCCTATTTTTTGGTTTTTAACTTCTGGATAGTTTATGCATTTTGTAGTAATTTTGAATGAGACTTCTCTTTTTATTATTTCCTCCTAAATTGACCTACAGTAAGGAACATTTAGAGGCAGATAAAGTTAAATCAATAATTTCTGTACTACATTACCACCTTAAAATCCAACTCCTGGAAAGAAAGTCCCTTAGCCAATCTCAGCAATCAATTATTAACTTAAAAATTAAAGAAGTATACTTTAGCCAGGATAGCTGCCTGAATGGAGAAAGCACGATCAGTTCCCCAACAACTAACTACTCTAGCAAAAAGCTAAAAATCGTACCAGGTCAAATAATGATCAAGACATTCAATACAAAACAACAACAATCCAGAACTGCATAAAAGTCAGCTAGAAGTCCATGAGGCTCATCAGCAAAGCCAGTGTCCAGTTCAGGCAAATGAGCTGGCAGCACTCACGGCCACCATAGATTCAATACAGCTAGAACAATTCTGTGTTCAGGAGCAGCAAAGGTGGAGGGGCTCCCATGAGAAAGCCTCAGGGTGGTCAGAAACCCATAGTTTCCACTAAGCCAAACAGTTAAGCCCCAGCAGTGCTAAGACAAGGATGTTCTAAATTTCCAAAATCTCTAGTACTCTGTCTTACTATGCCAGAGAAGGCCATGAAGATTCATGCTCTGAACTTCAAAGATCCAAATGGCTTAATTCCAGGAGACAGAAGTATAGAAACCTAATTGACTAAAGCAGAGAATGAGCAGGGCCTATAATCCCATTCAAAAACACAGCAAGAGGCAGATCCAGGTGCTAAAGATGAGTAACCCAGAGAAAACACTGACTGCTATAAAGATTACTGTCATTCTAGGAGGTTCCAAAATCCAACTAGGATTTATGACACAGTAGTGTTACAACAACTGCAGGCAGACTGAAAATATTTTCCACAATGACTACCTGCTTCTGGTGATTCATATGAAAGAAATACTGCTGCCAGAAATAATCTAAAAAGTACTGCTAAAGATTATGAAGTCTTGGAAAAGAAACTGAAGACTTAGGGCAACAGGTGGTATTTTCACATTGCCATTGTTCAAAGGTAAAGACCTTAGAAGAAATGAAGATTTGATCAGTAAGCAAGTAATTTTAAAAGATGATATCTGGAGACGAAATTTGAATTTCTGTGCCATGGATTAGAAGATAAGAATGATGGACTCCGGGTTGGAGATACTAGCAAGTAGCAATCTCCTAGTAATGGCTAGTAAAAATGTATTTGTCTGGCATCTTGGAAATCTAATGAAAGGGAAACTTAATCTGAAAATGAGGAAGAAGAAAACTACTTCTGTATAGGGGTATCTTCCAAACTGGAAACCACAGAGAGTATTATATGAGGAAAACTAACCCAGAAATTTACTAAGAGGCAAAATCCATGAAGGAAGTCAGTTTCAGATAACTATGAAAAAAATGGACAAAGTTTAGATAACAAGTTATACAAATTAGTGATTCTAAGTCAGAGTAAAAATGGATTTGAAGTTTTAGGTGAGGTTCTTGCCTTATGTTTTACTTGGAAAACAAGAGTTAATTCTCTGTGAATACTCTCTTCTCCCCTTTTGTACATCTAAAAATGACATCATCCTTCATTTTCTACTAATTTTTCTCAGTCTTTCTTAGTGTGGTAGTCCTCCTTGGTAAGACCTTTATCTCTTTTTAATGTGCTCTTAAGTCACTCCCTCCCTCTTTTTTTCTTATCTTCAACTTTTCTCAAAAATGAAATAACAAGTAAAGCACTTCAAAAACCACAAAGTATGTAAATTCTCACTATTGTTACTATTATTCCTTTCAAACATGCCTAAGCTTCCCTCAGCTTTAAAACAAAACTAAAACTTAACTGAATCCTACCCATATTCTCAAGCTACTAATCTTGAACTCTTTTCCTCTTCTTCTCATTCACCTCTTAGGAAAAGCTGCAGCTGTACACATTGCCTTAACTTCCTCTCTCCTCACTCTGTAATCTGTCTTCTGACCCAACTAGTCAACTGAAACTGCTCTCTCCAAAATTACCAATAATTTTTTTTTAACTCTGAAGCATTTAGTTTTTCTCCTTCCCACCCTGCCCCTCATTATCGGAGAAGGGTGGGGGGGAAGGGAGACAAACCCCTGTAATACATACAGAAAACAAATTCCCATATTGGTCATATCCCAAAATATGTTTTATTCTACCTATTAGTCCATCACTCCTGTCAGGTGGTATGCAGCATTCTTCATCATCAGTCTTCTGGAATTACAGTTAATTACCGAATTTAAGTCTTTCAAAATAGTTCATTTTTTTCATTATTAATTGATCTGGTTCTACTCACTTCATTCTGCAGCAACTCATACAAATCTTCCTGAGGTTTCTGAGACTGTTTCTTTCATCATTTCTTAGAACACAATGCATTCCATTACTCACATCCCATAATTTGTTCAGCTATCCCCTGACTGATAAGCACCCCTTTAGTTTCCAGTTTTTTGCCACCATGAAAAGAGCTGCTATACATTTTTTTTCATATGGATCCCTTTTCTCTGTATTTGAAATCTATCGGTGCTATCAGAGTCAAATGGTATTATAATTTTGTAATACAATTTAGCAACTTTAGGAGCATATTTCGAAATTGCTTTCCAGAGTGGCTGTAATGAAACTTTCTCAAAACTTGCTCTACTTGATTTCTCTGTAGCATCTAACACTCTCACACTGTTAACCACTCACTCTTCTTGGATTTTCTTTTACCTCCGAATTTTTGTGTCACTGTTATACTTGCTTCTCATCCTACCTATTTTACTGCTCCTTATTTGCTGGATCTTCATCCATATTATGCATTGAAACTATAGGTATGGCTCCAAAGCTATGGTCCTTGGTCCTTCTTTCTTTACACTCTCTCACTTACTGATGTCATTATCTCCCATAGGTTCAATTATCTTTTATAAATAGATGACTTCTAGATGTATATATTCAGCCCTAGTCTTTCTCTTGAGCTTTATTCTCACATCATCAACATCATCAACTGCCTGTTGGACATCTTGTACTACATATACTTCAATTCAACATGTCCAAAACAACTCCTTATTTTTCCCTTCCCCTAAACTCCCAACTTCTCCCTTCTACTCCTACCCCTCTGAAGAGAGTACCATCATAATTTAAGTTACCTAAATTCACAAGCTGAGCATCGTATGTCACTCCTCATTCTGTCTATCTCACATATCCAGTCAGTTGATAAATCTCTGGTATCTGTCCCATTCTCTCTACTCACTTAGCTACCACTCTAGTACAGACCTTCATTGCTTCTCAGCTAAATGACTGCATTAGATTCCTCCTTGGTCTTCCTATTTCCTCATCTCTTACACAGTTGCCAAAGTTATGTCCCTTTCCATATGGAGTAGAGGAAAACCTAAAGAACTCTAGAGAACCTCTCCAGAAGGAACTAAGTCACTCAGCTACAAATTCTCTGGGACCATGTGTCTTCATTTTCACCCTAGCCATTTTCTACCCTGATGTCATGTTTTCCCTACCCCACCCTCCACATATCCCCCTTTAGTCTGTAATCTACTTAAATTGTAGTTAAAAAATAGTACCATTGACTCTGGGAAGAGCCAGTCAATGGATTGCCCTATTGTTTCAGATGACTTCCTAGAAAAAGGATAATGTTAACCTAGATGACTTCTAGGGTCTCTTTTAGCTCTGAAAATAAGATCCCGTGAAGTGTTTTCCCTTTAAATAGTATTTCAGAGTCACAAAGTCAAGAGATTAAACTAAAACTTAAGAGTTCTGGATGGCAGGAGAAACTATGTATCAGCAAAATGTTCTGAGTTTGAACAATTATAACCAGGGTTCTAAAAAACCTAGAAGCAATGAAAAGGACCTGTAACAGCTTATAGCTGAGACAAAAAATATATGAATAAATATTTAGAGAACCAGAAATTATAAACAATTACCATCAATGTCAAGGTAGATGATTAATGGTTAGAGATTTCTGTTTCTTCCAATATTTGAGTGTATGATGTGGGAGAGAGAGAGAGAGCTTGGTACAGTGGATAAAGAGCTAGCCTCAGAGTTAGAAGAACTCAAGTTTAAGTCACACTTCTGATACGTGCTGGCAAGTGACTTAACTTCTCAGTGCTCCAATCATTTCCAGGCTGATCGATGCAGAACAGTTGCTGATCTGCATTAGTTGTAGGAATCCCCTATACTGACAAAATCAAAAGA